ATCTGCCAGTATAGTGAAATCATTTTACTTGATAAAATTACCTAAAACAAGTAAATAATGTCTGGAAACATGCTAGATATACTTGTAATAAGTGCACAACCATCAAAAAAATGGGAAATATTAGATATATTGACTAGATTTAAGATCATTTCACTTGACAAGATACCATTTTTGCAGTGCTCTACTGGTTTGACCAAACTGGGAGAGGAACTGAGTTAAAATCCACAAAAGAATGAAGCAGAATAAACTATTTAAAATTGATTTTAAAGGGAGAATTTTAATGACAGCAAAAGATTTTTTGACTGTTTGAACTAAAGTTTGACTAAAGCTGTGCAGAAGGTTGACTTAAAATTTGAAGTTGACTTTAATTGTTTGCAGAGGTCTCAGTTTTAGAGTTATACGAGGTTCTCCTGCACTGAAAAAACGTTTTTATTAGATCAAGTGGTTGCACTGGTAGAAAATATGTTACATCAGCTTGTTAATTTAACTTGTTTTGGTAATAATTGTGTTCCTGTAATGCACTTTTTTCATGTACAATCACGTCACACGTTTTTATTCATCTTAATTAGCAGCACCCGTTTTAGGAGTGATAAGCTGCAGCCACACCGGCCCTCTGTGGATAAGACTACTGACCCCTGCTTACGCACAGCTTCCTTCTGCACACGTCTTTATTGCACAGATACAAAAGGGAAATTTGAGCTCTGCTGTTTTCTACACAATTGAGCATTCTTAGATTGTTCAATAATTGTATATAAATGCATTTAAATCATATAATTTTTGGGATATGTTTTGTTCATATTCTTGTGTCAACCACTTTGTGTGTTGCTATATAATTAAAGATTATCAATACATCTTTCTTCTTCTTCTTCATCTTCTACAGAGTGTGCAGTGTGCAAAGAGAGAGAGAGAGAGAGCTTTGCAGGATTTAGTTAGGAGAGGTGTTCTACAGCAGTCAAGTTTCTTCAGTTACATAAGTCTCTCTCCCTCTCTCTCTCTCTCTCGCTCTCTCTCTCTCTCTCTTTCTCTCTCTCTCTCTCTCTCTCTCTCTCTCTCTCTCTCTCTCTCTGGAAAATGTAAATATGAGAGTATGTAGACCTATAATATTGCACCGCCCCCCCTCCCCCATTCTTTTTCTTTCTCTCTTTTGGCAGATGTAAATCGCTGCTGTTGGAACAAAACCTCGTATCTCCAAAATGGTAACTTTATAGGAGAAAAAAATCCAAGTCATTTTGGGTCACTTCTTTTGGTCTATTCATCACAATGTAAAGGGAAAGAGACATTTTCAAATAATGAGACAGATACAAACTATGTAAAAACTGAAAAACGACAAAAACAAAAAAGATGAGAGGTTTTGTTCCGACACCAGCAACACATATCATCACCGTTCAATATATGTATATCTCCAATATATCTCCAAAACAGTAACTTCACAGGACAGGACAAAAACTTCATAACTTTAATTCAAGATAAAGTAACTTACTGTAAAAATATTTTATTCCAAGCTGTTTTTGAGCATTTCTATTGGTCCATTCATCATGAATTGTTCACGCTATGTAAAGGACAGCTGCTGTGCTCAAATGGTGTAGAAAAATAAACATAAAACAGAGGAGATATATGTTTTTCTTTGTATAGCGATGAAATACTAATACAGTCTCCCTCTTTCTGCTCTGGAGGAGGAACTAATATCTCATATTGCTGTGGAAAAAAAATAGAAGGAGGTGAGGCACTGCTTTAGTATGGACAGTGCATCATCTCCTCAACCACAAGGGGGCATCAGAGAAGAGAGATAGACAAACAGAGAGGGAGAGAGAGGGAGAGAGAGATTTCAAATAGGCATATGAATAACCAGATCGCTATTTGCATTCAGCATAAAGAAGTTGTTGATTAAAAAAAGAAGAACAAAAAAACTTGGATGCTTTCAGACCTATGACTAACTGTGGCTCCCATCAGTTCAGAGTCTGAATCATTTTTTTCCTTCTGTTCCAAATATCACAATTTACAGTCACCCATATTCCGCTGATTTGCGTTCTGAGACTCTGTGTTCTTCAGCTCGTGCCTGTTTTTTTATTGCTGGAGTGATGTTTATGATTATGATTTGTTTTGAGATTCTCAAACTGTTACAGCTGATTACGGTAATTTTCACTCTTCCAGAGCTGTGATTCATAGCAGTGCTGTACAGAAGGTCAAATCGATTATCATGTCTTTGCTGCATGCTATGCTGAGTGGTCCTTAACCCATATAATATGTAATGTAAATGTAATTTAAGTAGTCAGTGGTGGTCCTATGGTGGTCCCTTTCCACTCATAAATGGTGGTAGTGGCTGATTACGCGTACAGAAATAGATGGGCTACAGTCTGTAACTGTAAACCTACAAAGTGCACTCATATGGTAGGTGTTTCCAATATAATGGCCAATAACTGTAAGTATAAGGTAGGTGCGCCTAATAAACTGGCAACTCAGTCTGCATTACCAGGCATCTTTTGATGGTCCAAGCTGTGGTCTTCCTTCTCATAGATCTTCAGTCCACCAGTACTCAACACCAGTGGTTCCCATCCCTCTCCCTGCATGTAGGGTTCTCCATGTTCTAACACTTGTACCTCACCTGATGAAAGTCTTGTTAATTAGATCATTAGTTGAATCAGGTGTGTTGTGAGCCAGTGAAACTCTCTAATCTGGGGATTGAGACTCATGGGCCCCTGAATGGTGCCTCAGTGTTGGCCCTGTCATTGGCCCTGAGTTTGATTCCCAACAACACCACAGCCATCTGTGAGCATAATTGGCCTTGTTCTCTCTGAGTGAACAGGATGTTTCTCCCTCTCTCCCATCTCTCAGCGTGATGCTGGCCAACATCAGCACCTGTTAGCAGACATATTAGCAGTAAGTGCTCTTCTTCAAGCTTTCTAAGCTGAGGTTGCATTAATACCAGCTCAAAAATGGCTTCATGTGTACCTATTGGGAAAAAAGACTTTCCAGAAATCCCAGCTTAGTAGCTTTGTGTGATGGGGAGACCTTGCTAATGTGTGGAATTGGACATGAGTAAATTATGATGAACACTGGGTACAGATGGAGAATATGGGGTTTAGAACCACAGCACTACACCATCCATCTCCTGGACACGTCCCCTCATTCACTGCACCCATAAACAGTACCTTTTCTTACTATAAGCAGTATAAGCCATTGCTTAGAGTCATTGGTGGCTTAGGGGGCTGTAAGCAACTTATACTGCTTATAGTGAGACATGACTAAATTAGGGAAAGAGATTGAGCCTCCTGGACTGCCCTCCTGGACCCCAACACTTACTGTACCCATAAACAGGGCTAATTTTATCCTAATTGTACTTTTTATTTTTATTTTTTTTAACTATCCTAATTAAATTTCTAATTAGAATTTTAATTTAGTGATTTTTTCTTTTAAATCTATCGTTTTAATCAAGTTTTAATCATGGTTTTAATTTCTATTCTGTATTTTCTCATTTGTAAAGCACTTTTGAATGCTGAAAGGTGCTGTATAAATATTCCAACTATACGTGGTATTAGCTGTCACATACGGTGCACAAGCCACTGGGGACCCCTGAGTATGTATGCTTTTAAAATGTATTCAATGTCATTCTATAGACTTTTTTCCTTTTTTGACTGTTCAAAATGAATTAACAAGTGTTGTCAAAGTTTATGTGTTAGTAGTGTATTGATGCAATTAATCATTTATGCCACCAATTAATGCTGGGGGTGGGGTTGGGGTGCTGTAAATTTATTTAATGATCAGTTAAAAGCAAAACACAGTGCTGATGCAGTAATACCAGTAATCACTAAGAGGACACCTGTGTTCACCTGCATTCACCTTATTTTCATGTTCAGCTCATGTGAACCTTACATTCATGCAATGAAAATAATGTTATTGAGTAATTGGAAGTAATAAATGCATTATAATGAAGCTTAATTCATCCATTCATACAGCTTTAAAAATGCAGTGCTTTGTAAATGGAATAGATCACTCTTTAGTGTGAAATTTAAGAAAACAAATGTGATTAATCGTGATTAACTACACAAAATAATGTGAATAGTCACAATTAACTACTAAAAACATAATGTGATTAATCATGAATTACTACACAAAACAATGCAATCAATTGCAATTGACTAGACAGAATTGTGTGATTATTCATGGCCAGCTACCCAAAATGAATCATAATTAATCACAATTAATCATGATTAATTGTTTTATTTGACAATTTGACAACTATAAAATGAGGTTTTATTTTTTTTCTATTCTTGCATACAAAAGAATGTGACTTGGGATGTGATTAACCTCAATTAACTACCTCAAAAAATGTAATAATCATGATTAATTACACAAAATAATGTGATTAATTGTGAATTACTACTCAAAACAATGCAATCAATTGCAACTGACTAGACAGAATTGTGTGATTATTCATGGCCAGTTACCCAAAATGAATCATGAGTAATCACAGTTAATCACAAATCATTGTGATTAATTGTTTTATTTGACAATCTGACAACCTTAAAATGAAGTTTTAGTTCTTTTTCTATTCTTGCATACGAAAGAATGTGACTCTGGATGTGATTAATCGCAATTAGTTACACAAAATAATGTGAATAATCATGATTAACTACACAAAATAATATGATTAATTGTGAATTACTACACCAAACAATGCAATCAATTGCAATTGACTAGATAGAACTGTGTGATTATTCGTGGTCAGCTACCCAAAAATGAATCACGATTAATCACAACTAATCATGATTAATCGTGATTAATTGTTTTTTTCTGGCAATTTGACAACCCTACAATTAACTTTTATTACTTTTTCTATTTCTGCATACAAAAGAATGTGACTAGGGTGGGTGGATTGGGTGTTGGGGTCTCAGAGTAGGGCCCGCAAACATTCAGAAACCCCAAATGCAACATAAATGTTCCAGGTGTGCATGTGTGGTGGAAGCCCCCAGAGAGCGTACGTCTTTGGATTCGACTCTTTATTTGGTTTGGATCACGAGCCCCTTCTGGAGAAAGAGGTCACCTTTATTGCTGATATATTAAAGTCTGGACTACTACTGTAAGTGCTTGTGCTTTAAGCAAAGAGAGGGAGATTTTCTTTTATACAGCATTTATATACAGCTTCTATACATGAGACAATCACTAACAAGACAGAGGGGGACATGCTCGGCCACGTCCACCTGCTCCTTCCGCTCCTCTTCGCACTAAGGCAGGGAAAAAAAAAATAAAAAATAAAGAAATACACACACGCATATAGCATGGCACTCAGTACACCACCCTTTAGAAAAAGCAAGCATATAGATCTTTGGGAATTGCTTCCATTAAAAAGACAATATAGTTTATTCTATATCTTGAAGAGCTATGTTCACCTTGGCTGCTGCATCTTCTATCCTATGTTACATGGCATTGGGGTTTAGAATGAGCAAAGAAGACAAATGAGATAAAATGAAAAGGAGAAAAAAAACACATCTGAAGCAAGAGGAGGAACATGAGTGTGACAATTCAGCTTTCTGTCTCTCCTAAGTCAAATCGCTGCTATGTGAGGAGAAAGACGGAAAGCTTGAGCGTAACTGCTGTACGCTGTGAACACTACCGCTACACAGCTAATAATAGTTGAGTACACCTAGTAAACCAGCTTTTGTTCATGGCACTCTGGCATGAGTTGACCCTTCACTGCCCGCTCAGCAGGCCGGACTAGTCATCTGAGTTCATTTTAGGGAATGGCTTAAGTCCCAAAGATCCAGAGAGGCCAGGAGCGGATCTTCTTTACATAAACAATAATCCGTATTTAATCACATTCTGCTGAGTCAAAGGGCTATGCATGTGTAAGTAAATATATATGTATTTATATATATGTGCACTTGGTTATTCTAAGTGGTCATGGCTTCTTTTTATTTTTAAAAAATAGTACCTCTAAAATCATCAGATTATTCTCCTCCACTTGTTAAAATTCCAGTAGCGCTATATGGATGCATAGGAAAGGCAAATGAGAGTGTTGGGCGTGGTTTGACTACATGCTGAGTTATGCGACCATTTGTTATGGATTACTTGAGATTATTTCCCAGTATTGTCAGTACAGTTTTTAAAAATATTGAATGACTTTAGCAGGTTTTCTGTTTGAGCATCAATATATTTCTGACATTCGAATTGAGCTACACACTCAAGGTGCGGTTGGAAGGGAGGGGGTGGGACGAGAACAGTGATCTGGCACTCTGATTGGACGCTCTACTTCTTCCTGTAGTTGCCCAGCTGAATGGCGGAGCGGTCAAAGACGCAGCGGAAGGTGATCGGTTGCACCTCCCAGTAAGGCACCGGGTTGCTGAACAGACTGATGCCAGAGTACATAGCCTTCTTCGTGTTGTAGCTCGGGGGGCAGAAGTCTTCTGTGCCAACAGCAGCGATCTTGTTGGAATGGAGATAGATCACCTGGGAACATGGAAAGACCATAGTGGTTAAGGTTGCCACTGACCACTGATTCCACCGACCCATCCTTGCTACTGTTGTGATGTGGGACAAGTTTTAGAGCAGTGGTCTCTAACCCTGGTCCTGGAGATCTACCTTCCTGCAGAGTCTACTTCCAACCACAGTTTGCCACACCTGCTCCAGCTAATTAACCACTCCCTAAGTCCCTGATTGGCTGGATCAGATGTATTAGAGTTAAGTAAGGAGGCGGGGCAGCTTATTGGATACAGGTTGGAACTAAACTTTGCAGGAAGGTAGATCTCCAGCTAAAGGATTTTTATTGTACGGTCAAAATGATAAACTTGACATGTTTTGTTGATTTTCTAAGTAAACAAACGAAAATGACATTTTTCTGCACATTTCAGGGCACAACTTCTTTTTATTTGCTTACTTTAACATAACAGAAATATAAAGTATACAATGTGCCATAACTTTTGCACAGGCCACATTTTATGTTCCATTTCTTCCAAATTTATTAAATTCAACAAATAAAGAGTAACTGTGTATTAAAATGTGCTGGAGTGTGTTCTCTGTAGACAATGTGTTTAACTTTCTTCTTAGAAAATCAACAAAAACTTGTAAGACCCAAAATTTTACACAACGTTAGGATTGATCGGCTTATTTTTGGCACATAAAAATGTCATGTAGCACAACCATTAACCACGGGCCTTTATTTTGACATGCTGGTATGAAAGAGTGGGCAGGGTATTGCATCATAAATAAGACCACAAGTAACCCTATGATGTAATGTAATGGTCCTTAGCAAATATTGGAAAATATCATTTCTGAGTCACGGTTAGGCTGGTTCAGTTTGTGTGACGCCCTAAAAAACATGAAAATGTCTTGTTATTATCCATCCATCCATCATCTAAACCACTTATCCTTCTGGGTCGCGGTGGGGTGCTGGAGCCTATCCCAGCTGTCATTGGGCGGAAGGCAGGATACACCCTGGACAGGTCGTCTTGTTATTATAATAATGTTTATTTATTTAAAAAAAATGCATATCCTTAACTTTAAGGACAAAAGTTTATACATGTGTCCAGGTATTAAGAGTAGTTTATAGATATTTTCTGTAGTGTATGTATATATATATATATTTATATATCACTGTCAATGAAGAAAACCTTGTATCTCCAAAATGGTAACTTTACAGGAGAAGGAAAAAAGCATATATTAGTTTTAATGTAAGTTAATGGAACCAGACATTTATCCAAGTCATTTTTGGGTCGTTTCTTTTGGTCCATTCATCATGAAATTTACACACAATGTAAAGATGAAGAACAGGCGTTTTCAAAATATGTCAAAAACTGAAAAAATGACAAAAATGGAGATATGAGGTTTTCTTCCGACAGCAGCGATATATATATATATATATATATATATATATATATATATATATATATATATATATATATATATATATATCCAAAAATCCAAATCATATCCTGTTTAACAACAATTTCATTTAAATACCTTATTTTTCATGGGCCTTTTTACTGTGTTTTACATTTTAGATTCCTGTAGAAATTTTTTTTTGTGTTTTGAGTTCATGGTTAGACAGAAAAAGTGCTCAAGAGTTGTACCGGTAGGTCCATTAACAGCTCACCTGGATGTACTTGTGCTCAGGCAGGCCAGTGGGCACAGTGGTCAGAGCATTGTTGTCCAGATGGAGCTCCCTCAAGTGAGGCACATTGGCCAGAGAACCGTTCTCCACAACGCTGATCTCATTATGGCTCAGGCCCAGCCTGCACAAACACAAATAAACATTTATAATAATACAGCTCCCCTTGTTGAAGACCAGATGATTCTTTCATTCTGCTAAGTAGGACATTGAGATCTCTTTACTCATCTATTTAGTTCCTTTATGCACTTAATCAAGGCGAAGGCTGCAGAGCACAAAAGTATAACAGAGTGAACACACAGGAGGGTTACATGAGCATCGATTCAGCCAGAGGAACTGGGCATCGCAGATGGAAAACGGGAGTAACACGATTTTCTGCCTTTTCTTCATTTTCCAAAATAAACCCATGAAACTGGGCTGAATTGTAATTTGAATTTCATGGGCTTTCTCAGCTGCGTGGCGAGACCCCCTGAACCTAATCATTTTCATATGAACCTCACAATTATCACATGATTAAGTCAGATATATGGTTTTCTCTGTCTGATACTCTCTGACAAGCCCGTCCAACGGAAAAAAGAAGGGGTACACGTTGGCACAAGCTCTTACTTGGCCAGGTTCTTCAGGCCTTTCAGGCTGTCGAAGGTGACCTTGGTGATTTTGTTCCCGTCCAGATGAAGCTCTGACAGAGAGCTGGGCAGACCTGCAAGGTTTCACAACAGAAAGAGCAAAGATGTCACACTCTAAAGTGAAAAAGAAAGACGTCCAGTCATTAAAGGCCAATCAAGTTATAAGACAAAGTGCTGTAATAGCAGGACGCTAGCAATAAAATGGGTGTGCAGTCATGTGCGATCCAGGAATCGAGAGAATCTGAGAGAGACTTCAGTCTCAGTGGCCTGCTTTCAAGTTGGTTTTAAAGGAAACCCTGACTGCTAACACATGTAGACCTCAATATGGTGTCTATTACCGTTGTAATATGTTGAATAAACAAAATTCTTTATTTATTATTAAAAACAGACCAAATTCCTCTACATTCTAAGTTGCCGTTTCTGCTGCGACATCAAGCGTTTGCTCTCTCTCTCTTAACTCAAATTAACGCTACATTACACAAGAGAAAAACTTTCTGATTGTATATGAAATTATCACTGCAACAGTGCCTACTAGTAGAGGGATTATGATAATGTGTCATGTTTTTATAACAAACAAAGCACTTTTGGTTGGTTTCTGCATCATATCATTATAGTATTGGACATGTACACTATTTTATGGCATACAAATCTGAACAGTCAGACTTCCCTTTAAAGCTATTTTGTCTTAAGTGGCTTATTACTTTTAGAAAATGGTAAAAAATGTAATAAAAAGTGGGTAACACTTTATTTGGATGGACCACTACAGATGCTTTGTTGATGCTCAGCCTACTTTTAACTAACATTCAACTAAATATCTAGGAAATGCAACTGAACTTCAAGCTGTGGGTGAAAGATTCTATTAAATCAGTCCCGAACCTTAAACCTAAACCTAATTTCAAGGCAAAACCTACACCTACTCCTAAACCTAACTCTAACCATAATGCTGTTGATCAACGATCACCAGGAAGTTTGTTAATAATGTAGGTGTCTGTTTATCATCTATAGGGGACCATCCAAATAAAGTGTGACCGTAACAATATTTAATAAGTACATATGTAGTACTTACAAGTAATTTTCTGGTACATACATGCTGAAGTCCTACCACTAAGTACTTTCATATTTATCGGTATTGTGAGTTGTGGTTATATATGCTCTACATATCACAAAGTCAAGAAAACACATAGTTGTTATGTACACTTTAGTTTACAGGCTGGTTTCCATTATATTACAGGGACTTGCCAGTATGTGCACTCTTAAAAAAGACGGTTCTTCAAGGATTCTTAAGAAAAGAACATGGTTCTATATAGAACCATGAGTTCTATATAGAACCATTTTACACTTAAATGGTTTATTGCATCATGAAATCGTTCTTCAGATGGATGGAAAATGAGGTGTATATGAGTCTATATGGAATCTTTTTGAAATTGGTTCTTCCTAGCACCAAAAAGGGTTCTTCTATCGTATAAAAGCTTGACATCGTAACAATAGAAGAACACTTTTTGGTGCTATATAGATCCATTTTCAAAAAGGTTCTGTATAGAACCATATACAACACATTCTCCATGCAAACAACCATTTAAGCATGAAATGGTTCTATACAGAGCTCATGGTTCTTTACTAAAGAACCATCTTTTTTAAGAGTGTAGCTGGTAGTACGTCTGGTTGGTTTCTTTACTTCTTTTGTTTTTCTATAATGATGATGAGAAAACAGGTACACTCTTGAAAGTGATGGTTCTGTATAGAACCATGAACACTCAAAGAACTCTTTGCATGAAGAAATGGTTCTCTGCATCATTAAATGATTCTTCAGATTGACGGAGAATGTGCTATGGATGGTTCTATATAGAGCCTTTTTGAATAGGGTTCTATACAGCACCAAACAGGGTTCTTCTATTGTTACAATGTCAACTCTTTTCAGCCATTTCAAACATTCTCCATCAATCTAAGGAGCCCTTTCATGATGTAAAGAACGCTTTAAACACAAAGGGTTCTTTGAATATTCATGGTTCCATATAGAATCATTTTCTTTACTAAAGAACCCTTGAAGAACCATATTTTTTAAGTGTGTAGTTACTGTTTAATTATTTTGGACAAAGTTACACTTTATTTTACATTCCGGTTTTCATCATATTACAGAGGACTCTTAAAAAGATGGTCCTTAAAGGGTTCTTTAGTAAAGAAAATGGTTCCATTTAGGACCATGTGTTCTATATAGAACATTCATCATGCTTAATTGTTTCTTTGCATGGTGAAATGGTTCTTCAGACTGATGGAGAATGTGTTGTATACGGTTCTATATAGAATCTTTTTTAAAATGGTTCTGCATAGCACTTAAAAGGGTTCTGCTATTGTTACGATGTCAAGCTTGTAACAGCTTGGTTGAAATGACAAAGTCCCACTCAATAGATTATCAATATATTATCAATTTATGTTCAAATTATTAACAAAACTCATTTGATTCTCAACAGTGTTAAGGTCAACATTGGATTTAGGATCAGGGCGATTGTTAGGTTTAGGTTTTAGGTTTAGATTAAGGATTGGATTAGTGTTAAGTCCAGGTTTATGGTAGGATAAATTAAGATGAATTAAATAGATACTTAGTTGAATGTAATTAAACGTTAATAAACATCTACAAAGCATCCACAATGGACTGTCCAAATAAAGTGTTACCCAAAGTTCTTCTTGATCTTCTTGGATATGACTGATGATATATACTTCTATGTTCAGTCATGAAATGTTTCATGCACAGTCGCATCCCTTAAATCTTTACCACTGCCTGGAGTGTTCTGTTTACCTTTGGGGATGGCGGTAATGTTGGTGTCGGCGATGCGGATGTAGGAGACCCTCTTCAGATCGGCAAAAGCCCCTCCGTCCACCCCTGAACTGGTCAGTGGGTTGGAACCAAGCTCTGGAACAGGTGAAGATTTTATTTATGCAGTATTTTATTCACTATTCATGCATACATACATGTTAATGGATTCAGGACACGTTCATTTTCCACTATTTTCCATTGGCATGCCAATGTGAATAACTGGAAAGGCCTGTGATTGGCTGATTTGTGCAGGTGTGCTCCATGCCCAGGGCCACGGTGCTTTAACGGTGCTGGAACGGCCATTTCACACATGGCTGAACAAGCCCAAATGGAAAACAAGGTTTTAGTGTGTTTGGGTGACTGAATACATATGGATGAAGCCTAAAAGTGCAGTGAAACGGAAAACTCTGAACTGTGTGAATGTATGCAAGAGAACACTCCTAAGCATGCACAGGCACAGACACATTCTTAAGTTTACAGATACAGATGGACATCCTCTCCAATAACCATGAAGCAGAGCAGCATCTCAAGCTCAGCCGAGACATGTTTGGTCTCCAAATTCTACTACTTCAGTGGATCTTACAAGACTAACGTTAATAACGCTAGAAGTCAATAGTCACCCAAATATTTTCTGTTCATATATCTGCGAAATGTCTCTCCGCCTGCTCAAACTGCATCAAGGCCTTCATGAAAGAAACAGGAACACAATATTTTGCTTGTTGTCAACCAGCCAAGATGTGTTTGGAGTCCAGATTTTGCTTCTTTCATTTAGAACTGAAGCACTGAAGCTGTCATTGTTAACAAACACTAAAAGTCAATAGTCACCCAAATAGGCTACTTTAAAACACATCACCAAAACTCCTCTCAACCAGCTCAAACTGCATCCAGATGTTCATTAAGGTGGCGCAGACTTGCTGAGGTAGTTTAGTGCAGCCAGTTCTGCTTTTCTACTGTTTCTGTATTTCCGCTGCTCTTAGCTGGGAAGATTTGCTAATATTTACAGAAGGTCATACTGTCTAAACCACATCAACCAATTTGTGTGACCTTAATGAAGACCTGGATGTGGTGTGAGTGGGTTGAGAGAAGCATTGTTAATATATTTTTACAGAAATAATTTGGGTGACTATTGAGTTCTAGTGTTTGTTAGCCAATGTTACCAGCGCTGTTACCAGCAATGTTCCAGCTCTAAACTAAAAAAGCATAATTTGGACTCCAAATATGTCTTGGCTGATCAACTGTATTTGGGCTAAGTGGAAAATTGGGTACATTGAGTAAACGGAAAACTTGTTGCTCAACTTTTCCTTTATGGTTGTGTAGACTTATTGATGCAGTTTAGGACACAGTAGGACTTACTATGAGCTATAAAAATAAACAAAAATTCACAGAGTAGCCAAACACTGTAGGTATCCACTTTAGACAGCAGGGGAATCTTATTGAGGAGCTGGATATGGTTTGAGTTTGTTTAGAGAAGTTTTGTTAATGTAGTTTTACCGAAATGATTTGGGTGACTACTGAGTTTTAGTGCTTGTTAACAATGTTAGCCTCATAGCTCCTGTTCAAAACTAAAAAAAGCAAAATTTGGACTCCAAACTTGTCTTGGCTGATTAACTGTATTTGGGGTAAGTGGAAAATTGGGTACATTAAGTAAATGGAAAACTTGTTGCCATGCAATCCTTTAAGGTTGTGCAGACTTTTTGATGTAGTTTAGGACACAGTAGGACTTACTGTGAGCTATAAAAATGAACTAAATATCACTGAGTAGCCAAACACTGTAGGTATCCACTTTGGACAACAGGAGAATCTTAATGAAGAGCTGGATGTGGGCTGGCTGGGTTGAGAGAAGTTTTGGGGATGTATTTCCAAAAATGATTTGGGTGACTATTGACTTTTAGTGTTTGTTAGCAACATTGGCCTCATAGCTCCCGCACAAAACTAAAGAAGGCCACTAAACATGTCTTGGCTGATTGATTAGATCTGTAGGAAAATTGTGTAACTTTGATTTTTTTGTCCATGAGTGTTCATGTAGTAACAGAACTGAGGCCGCAAAAATCCAGTACATTGAAAAGGCTATAACTATAACAGAGATCATCTTAGCTTCACTGATAAAGCGCAATAATGCTGTTTCCTATATTGAGCCACATCTGGTGATGATCCTCCAGAGAAGAGGAGCTAGCCTTCGTCTAGACCTTGACCCCACGCTTACCCATGACGATGACGTGCGCCATGCCAGCGAAGGAGGCCTTTCTGATCTTGCTGATCTGATTCTCATGGATGCGCAGCTCCTGGAGGCTCTTGGGCATGTTGGCGGGAATGTCCTTCAGCAGGTTCTTGGAGAGGTAAAGCCTCTGGAGGCTGATCAGGGGAGCAAAGGCCTTGGCATGAATGATGGTGATCTTATTGTTTACCAAGATGAGAGCCTAGAGGAACAGAAGAAAAAAAAAATGTTAGGTTTCAGTGGGAATGAAGTGGAGAAATGTATATATGTCCATCTGTATTTGCCTGAGGATGTTGGTTCTTTTCTTCAATTTTTTTTTGGAGTTATTTGAGGACTTTTCAGCCATGCTAACTTACATTCCATCCATGTGCTAACGATAGGCTTGTTATTCATCAGCAACATCACCCCCTACTTTGAGCTCCACCTTCACGAGCTATTGAACTGGTTTAGAAACTTCACTCCCAGTTTATTCCAATCATAACAGGTTCCCACCCGTATTTAGCCTGAAATGTCTGGTTTCCTAGTTGTCCTCAGATGTTACAAAAGAGTAATGTACAAGGGTTCTTGTTATGTATCAGTTTGGGAACATCACTGAGCACTTTTGAGGCCTTTGCAATGTAAAACGTCTAAGCTGCAAAGCTTTTGGAAAAAGACATTCTGTTTGTTTCACTCTATTAGACCTATGAGTGCCTTAAGTGTGGGAATTAAGTTATTAAACCCTTGGCCGTCCTTCGTATAGTTAAACCAAAAGGAGTTGATACTTAGCAGCATGGCCTTTCCCAATGGCAGTCAGCATTCCAGCACATAAAAATGACCATTTATTTTCATAGAGCTAATTAAACAGTCATGGCAAGCACAGCAAAGCAGACTGCTCTCCAATTTTTCTTCGGATCAGATTCAAATCCCGCTGGAGGCCAGCGGATCCAGGCTTTGTGAGGCTGTTAGGGGGGTTAGCCTGTTCCAAAACATAGCATGAAAGATTTCTCCCTCCACCCACTTCTGCTGACACGTATCCAGACAGGGAGAAATGCCGGGAATGTGTTACTTCGCACAGGTCAAGTAATGTAGTGTAGAAACAGCACTGGACCTGTGACAGCAGCCTGTATTTATTGTGCTCCAGAAAGCATTATTGGTTTACAGAAGGAAGGCTGGTTTCCAAAAGTGGATGGTTTCTCCTCCCTGCACCTGGAACTGCAGGCCTACGTTCGGTCTGGGATGAACCAAGTGGAGAATGAAGAGGGTCTGAAATTATACTCATATGCTTTGGGAAGGCATTTGCAGCAGTAGTCTAACTGGGCTTATATGCACATAGATGCTGTATATAAGAAAATCTCTTATCTCCATTTTTGTTGTTTTTCAGTTTTTGAATAGTTTGAAAAAACCTGTTGTTCTTTACAAATTTCATGATGAATGGACCAAAAGAAACGGCCCAAAATGACTTGGAAAAATGTCTGGTTCCATTGACTTACATTAAAAGAAAAGTAGTTTTTTTCCTTCTCCTGTAAAGTTACCATTTTGGAGATACAAGGTTTTCCTCTGACAACAGCGACATATATAAAGAGGTGTTTTTGCTTTGCTTGCCACTTATATGTTAGATGCGCCACAAATCAGGGAGAAGAAAAACGTCACAAGCAAGTTTCACGGAGCCAATATGATTAGTCAGTTCCATGATTAATAAACAATTTTGGTTAATTTTCATCAATTTCTACATATACCACCATTGATTTTCATCAATTTCTACATATACCACTCTGGTGAATGTTGATTCTGATAAATATTAGCGTGAAGTGCTAGTCTTGCATGCTAGTAGCACAACACATTAATTTTTTTATTTCAACAGCTTAGCAGGCTGTTCACAGTATTCTGATAACGTCACGCAAATGCATGGGCCACCATTTTGGTGGGCAACTTCAAGATTTAAAGCTAATTTAAAGCATAATACCCAATATATTTGAGTGCACTGGCTTGATTTTATTTGATTTGTTGTTGTATTGTTGCTGTTAATAAGTAACAGATGAAAATTAATGGATGAGATTTACTGTTGAGCTACTTCTGTGCATCTCAAAGTGCATTCTAGCACACTAAATAGTATATAAATAATGCAGTACTGCTAGAAGTGCACTCATTAGTGTAGTAGGTAAAGTACAGAAGTGTGGTTTGGGATGCAGCGTTAGATCAGACAGTGAGTCGCTTTAAACAATCGAGCAGCTCCAGTGTCTGATTACAGCTCTGTGGTGCTGGTCATTAGCTGTTCATATTAGTTTAGTGGTGTGTTCATATAAGACAAAACTGCTGAAGGTATTTCTTGATTAAGGCTGCTTTTCTTGAGGTAAACTGGATGTCTAGATGTTTCTGAAGCAAAATATCTTTTAGCTGTGCATACATGTAACAAGGCCAGTGTTGGCCACACCATTTAAGGTGGAACGGAAAATAAGAATAAGAAGCTAGTAAATAGAAAGCCAACTTCAGCTTTTTATACATACATATGATATGTCCATAATATATGTCGCTGCATCTGGTATCTCCACTTTTGTCATTTTCATTTTTTGACATAATTTAAAAGCAGCAGCTTTACTTTACATTGTGTCAAAATTCCATGATGAATGGACCAAAAGAAATGGCCTAAAATGACTTGGAATAGGTCATTTCTCCATTAACTTCTACTTAAGTTAAGATGCTCCCATAAAGTTGCCTTTTTGGAGGTTCAAGGTTTTGGTCTGACAGCAATAATGCGTTTATTATTTAAGAGTTTCGGCAGTTTTGGTGGCCATTTTTATTAGTTTTGTAACATCTCATGTGTTGGAATGTTCTGCACTTAAAAGATGTGAAGGTTATACAGATTCAGTCCATCAGTCAATCTGATATTCTTGTAGTATTTTTTGGAGACTGTATCTAAAGTGTCCAACTTTTTCATGGTCATTCTGGCTAGTTTGCTTGGTCTTCATCCACCTGAGGGTTGTAGGTGCAGCAACAGTGGAGAGGCCAGCTCTGTTCAGTAGTAGCTTGCCAACCAAAATGGTGACTGAACATTCGCAATGACATAATCAAATACTATGAATGGGCCATTTTGTAAAAGACTTCCAAATAAGGCCAAAATATTCCGAAACGGGAATGTTACTGAAGCCAGCATAAAAAAAAAAATGTTTCTAAACAATTAAGTTTTCAGTTATAACAATTTATTTTGTAATTTGTGATGTTGAGTCCAACCAAAAATCAGAAAGAGAGAGAGAACAGAGATGCTCATGTTTATGTGAGCTCATGGATTTCTGACGCACTGTAATGGCAATGCAAACTCAGCTACACCAGTGTTGTACAGTAAACTGTGCATCACAGTGTGCGTAACAGTATTTGTTCACAGCCCTTTGTTTCGTAGGCCCACGCCACTGATTTGCAACGATGGGATACAGATTATTGTAGAGCTATTGTTGTGTGAGCAGGGTTGGGATGTAATGAAATACAAGTATTCAGGTATGAATATGTATTCAGAATACACAAATTCAGTATCTGTATTCAGTTCATGTTACATTTTGTAAAGGCAGTATTCAGAACACAGTTACCTTTTACATTTGTAGGAGAATATTTTTAGAATACTTACACACTAATATATATATATATATATATATATATATATATATATATATATATATATATATATACCATTTTTAAGAGAAATGCTATTAATATGTGTTTATTAACCCTTTTAAAATCAGAATTACTTCTGTGGTGCAAATGCTGAAGTTCCTAAAGCCTGAGTGGACTGAAAAATCAATGTGATAAACCAGTGGAAGATTTTGTAATTGAGATATGGTGAATGCTTTGCTTAGTTCATGAGATGGCAGTGGGATTATAGGAGTGGCATTGGGATTATGGGAGTGGCAGTGGGATTTTGGGAGTGGCAGTGGGATTATGGGAGTGGCAGCGGGACTGTGGGAGCAGCAGTGGGATTATGGGAATGGTAGAGTGATAATAGGAGTGGCATTGGGATTATGGGAGTGGCAGTGGGATTTTGGGAGTGGCAGTGGGATTATGGGAGTGGCAGCAGGATTATGGGAGAATCTGTGGGATCATGAGAGCAGCAGCAGAATTTTTGGGAGCAGCAGTGGGATTATGGGAATGGTAGAGTGATAATAGGAGTGGCAGTGGGATTATGGGAGTGGCCGTGGGATTATGGGAGCATCTGTGGGATTATAGGAGCAGCAGTGGGACTATAGGAGCAGCAGCGGGATTGTGGGAGCGACAGTGGGATTGTGGGAGTGGCAAAGGGATTGAAGCTCTCAGTGAGAGCCAAACCAATGTTGAGAGTTTTTCTCTTGTGCATCAATATGTATTCTAAATGTATATAAATACTTCTCTATGTATTGTAATGAAATACTTTACTCAATATATTTAGGGCGGTGCATTCAGTACTCAGCCATCGCTGCACTTTCAAAGTATTCTGCACAACACTGCGTGACTCATATGATTGATTTCCAAAGATTAGAAGCTGTTTTCGAGAACCTTCTTGGCCATCAAACGACTTTCAAATTTCAAGATTTCAATAGCAGACGCACGGTCTGGTCTGCCTCTTCCAGGAACATGCCAGAGAGTGGATCACTCCCCCACTGATGATCTTCAAGCATTTTTGAAGAACAGATCAGTTGGAATTTTCTGCGGGTGAGATAAGTCTCTGAGTATCCAATTTCCAAACAGCGGGAACATTTTTGGATAGTGGTACTTTTTGTTCCTCTTGCTTTTGAAAAGCACATAGAAAAGTGCACCATTTGATCATTCCCATCACGTTAAATGCGGTCAGCCTTATTTCAATGCACTCTGATTTTTGTGATGGACGTTGTTTTGACGATCTAATTTAGAGAATTAAAGCGAAGGCTGTGTTAGAATGAGCGAAAGAGGGAAAGAGAGCTAACTTACATGAAGTCCTTTGAGGCCTTTGAAGTCATTCTCTCTGATCTCACTGATCTTGTTGTTTTGTAGGTCCAGCAGAGTGGCGTCTGCTGGGATATCCTCTGGAACATTCTTCATCCCTGAGGAGCACAAAGGCAGGTTTGATGAGAATAGCTGAAGGTGATAAATTGAAGTATGTGTATGTAAATGGTGAGCTTGGACCTTTCGATGTTCCCAAGATTAGGATTAACCCCTGAAATAGCCAGGTACTAACAGCAGGCCCGAAGGTTTACCACACATTTCTATAACGGAAGAATAGCTCAGCCAGTTTGCATTGAAGTCCCTGTATTTACTGAATAATAAGCCTTAGTATGCAATAAGTCTGAGATTTTAAGGGGGTCAAAACAAGCATGCAGAAAAGCAGCTAGTAGAAAATGGACCCTATCTTAAGATGGCTTCCCTGCTTTGGACCACACTGAAGTGTTTCTTTTAGCCAAGGATTGTTCAAATAAACTCATCCACCGAATGTGTCAGCTAGTTAAAACGTCTCTCGAGATGAGTGATCACGATGGAAGGAACGCGAGAAAAACATAGTAGAAAAAGCACTTGATTGTTTACAGTGGGATTCATCTGGCAGACAGAGGCTCCTCTGTGCAGCTACGAGCATGGGCTGATGGGAAACTGAGTTCTTAGAGGATTGTGGAAAGTTCCCCGCGTTAAAGCTGGTGATTGGCTGCAGATCAGGTCGGCTGCTCTCCATCAACTTCGTGGCCAAAAAGTAATGACAGCCCTGAGGTAGAGTCCAGCCTTTTGACCACTAAAATAAAAGGTTTTTAAACTCCAGACGGTCATTTTGATGGACATTCTAGATGCTGCAATTCTAAGCCACTTTTGAAACCTTATGAAATGAATCTATGAGACTCTAAACTGATTAGCATATTAGGATTTACACTGACTGGCAATGCAAAGTGTGTAGTAACAGTGTTATTAACAGTGCTTGGTATTTACAGTGCGAGATAGTTCTAAGTTCTAGGTATTAGCCAGATAAGTATGTAGGACAAACTCCAAAGTGCTCAGTATGCTAGATGATTATTTTGGCTAATATGATGTTCTGAGACAGTCTACATGAATTGCAATGAGATGCTCAACAGGTTCTAGATATTACCTGGGTATGTGTGGGATACAATCTCCAAAGTGCATTTCCAGAGTAAATATTTCGGGTAAAATTCTGATATGTACCAAGACTAACTAAAGTACACTAAAGTTCTAGATCTTAAACTGATAGAACATATCAAGACATATTAAAATAACTCATAATGATTATTAACTGGGTAAGTATTTGGTACAAACTCCACAGTGCTGTGTAATTATATTGTGTTAAAAGTAGTGGATATTTATATGACATAAAAATGTATTGTACACAAATAAAGTACAGAGTCTTATACAGTATGTACCTTTTGGCTATAAACTAAACTGAATCTGGGCTGTAAAAGAAAGCAGTGATTCCTACTGTGGTTTTATGGGTTTTTCGCTGTTCTTCTTCATCTAAGCCGCTTATCCTTCTGGGTCGCGGGGATTACTGTTTACTTCCGAAAACTTTCTTTGTATTTTGTCACCATTTTTTACCATATTTCTCACCCACTACTTGGAGGAGTTTCTGATTTACTTTCCTGCTTAAACATGAGAAATTACAATGAAATTTACTGAGTTTGTTGGTCGACCCATATGACTGTACGCTTCGATACACCTGCAAATTCAGCTACTTCTTTCACACTGTGGCCTTTGCCACAAATGCAATCAATCCTTTTTCACTGCACTGTACCACCTTTTCTCAATCTATGAATCCCATCATACCCAGCAGGTATTTATAGCCCGATCATCTGCAGGATCCTGAAGTTACTACCACCTTAAACATGCAGGGTGAATATTTTTTTGTCCAGGGAGATTGTATATATATGTATATATATATATATATATATATATATATACTTGATCTCTGAGATCAAAGCTTCTGCTTAAAGAGAACATAAATGGGCTACATCTCTATTTCCAAATAGGTGAACTTGGGTTCTAGCAAACTATAGAACATTCATATGAAGTAATTGAGAAGTGGGCAAGCAATGTCAGTAAGCAGAAAAGAGTGATTCATTTCAACATTTTTGACATGAATCACTGGGCATTTGGATCCCCTAAAAGCTTGTCTCCCATCATCACTCTCTCGTTCTGTCTCTCTGTGTGTGGAAGTGTATAAACAGTTTGGAGAACATGATGGTGTGTACGATATAACAGCAGCAGACTGGGCACAATACGAACAGCTCTTGACATGTCAGCTCTCCTGGAAAACGCCTCGCATATGTTTCCTTCAGCCCACTCTGTTTAGTCTCTGGAAACTCTTGTCTCTGTGCTGAATATGGGTCAAGCATGTTCTATTTACCCTGAATGGATCAGCATTTTCCAATTTAGAATTTACTGATGATGATACAAAGGATTTATCAAGATTATAATGCCGGAGAGAAAGCCTGCCAGACTAGTCTGGGGTAAACAATTCTGAAATGTTGGTCAGATTCGCTGCATATTACGATTTACTGAAGATAATAAAACATTTATATCAACAATATAGCTCCGGAGAGAAAGCTTGCTCAGCCGTTCTGGGTAAACAAATCTGAAATGTTGATAAAATTCACTGCACGTGATAAACTGAACGCAGCGGAGGCCGGAAATAACGTGGAAATAATGTGTTTGTAATTCCATAACAAATTGTCAAATGAGAATAAAACAAAAGTATAACTGTATTAAGGCAGAGGTCAAGCGGGGGACATGCAAAGAAGTCCAGCTGCTCCACTGTTAATCGTTTTTTTTTTTCAAAAACAGCAAAATAAAGTGTTTTACAGCCTCACCTGTGAGATTTAGAGGACATCTAGCATACATGCTCTGACACAACGTGCAAACTGCTCAATAGAAAACAGCATTGTACTTAAAAATGTAAAAATAAATATAAGTGAGATTGACGTATATACATATTTTTAATGTTTACACTTTAAACATGCTTATATGCACACTAACTGTATTATTTTGGAACAACTTATGTGTATTTAAACTGACTATATATATATATATATTAAATGTATTTAGTTGTGCTTTTGAGTGCTTTGAGATTGAGATTAAAGTATGTATTGCAGGCATAACTGTTATTACACTTGGAATATATTATAAACATCCTGAAGGATGTACTGATACACCTCAGTGCTACATAGTGAGTTTTTATGCAACTAAAATGCAATATAACTTATGCACTTAAGTCATTTACATCATAAAACATATTATGTGATCTTTAAAATAGCATGCGATTCATAAATATGCAAGTATTGATTTTTAAATGTTATTCAAAACTTATGCCTCCTTTATGAAAGTTATCCTTTTCATTTCTCCTTTTCTATTAAATTATATTATTTATTTTTTCCAATCATTTTATTTTATTTTTATTTATTTCATTTCATTTGGTTGATTAAACTCTTAATTTGATCTTAATTCTATTGCTGTTCTGATTTATTTATTTATCTTTATTACTTTTATAACATGACTGTTTCATATTTTATGGTGTCTTTTTATGTTGAAAATGTATTAACCAGTTTATTATCTCGTTTTTGTTTATTTTTTCTCCTTCTCAATTAAATCATAATGACTCTATTATTTTTTTTTCCATTTATCTTTTTTGTTTGTTTGTTTTTCTTTGATTTTATTGTCAATTTATTCATGTAGTTCTGCTCATTTCAGTTTCACCTGATTCAGTTTCATTTTAATTTATTTTTCAATCCCTTTATGCTGTAAATTCTTAGCACTGAAAATAAGGGTGACTCTCAGTGTATTCTTGAGTGAAAATAAAGGTTGATTGATTGACTGATTGATTGATTGATTGGTTAAAGTCCCTATGAAGGTATATGCCTGTAAGTACAAATGCTGCACTGGAGTAAATGTAGAAATACCCATGGTAGAATATCATTATAGCTCATAAAATATTATACATTTTCCATTTCAAGGTAGGAATATGTGCTGTTAATTCGGCCTCTGCTTTATAAGCTCCATTACTTCGGAAAGATGCTCCATGATGGTGCTGTAAATGGAGCACAGTGTCTTTAACTTTACTTTAAGGCCTCTTATGTCACTAAAGTGCCATTTATTTCATAAAACATCTTCATAAATGCTCATAAATGCTCAACTATTGCTTTAGAAATGCATTATTCACTGCTTATGTGCTATGAAGTCCCTGTGAAGGTAGCCTTCAAATAAAAGATTTCATTTCAGCAATGCAAACACATGTACGAGTGTCACCACTCAAGCAACAGCAACAACAACATACAAACATAACAGGGCCCCTATGCATTTCCTCAGCAAGTGAGTTTTGCTGGGGCCCCTCGCTCTGTTCTCAGTGCTGTTTTCCACACAGCTGCGGCGCCGCGTAAGCGAGGCTCGTTTTTCACTGCAAAAAAAGGGGGTGAGTTTAGATGGAGAACAGGCCTGACAGCTCCCCTCCCCTGCCCTCGGCTTCTCCCCTCTCCTCTCTCCTCTTCTCCTCCCTCTGTTCCTTTCCTCTCCTCTCTCTCCTCCCTCCTTCTGCACAAGCCTGCCAAAGGGTCTGTAGAACAGATGAGGGCTGCAGTCTGGTGAATACAGCCCCCCCCCATTTCCGTCTAGGGAATGCAGTGCTATGTTATGAAATAATGGAACCTACTCTTCCTCAGCATCTGTCCATCTGACCATCTGACCTTCTGTAGTCCTTCGACAGCCCCAGAAAGATCAGAGCGCGAGTTCAGATTTCAGTGTGCGTATAAGCCTGATTTTGGACTGAAATGGATTGAAATTGATCTCATCTTGAATTTGTTTATTACGGTCAGCTTCCAAAATGGTCACAGTAGACCTGTTTCATTAACATAGCTACATAACAATCAGTCTGGGATGCAATTTGGCCCCACCATGCCATGTTTGGGAACTTTAAACTTACGTTTGCATCCAAAATATGCAAACTCGAGCACAATTGGAGCGAGAAACCTCAGGAATGATGATCGAGATTAACTTTTAGAGGGGGTTTTCCTACGTTTCTGCATGATGAATTCATTAAGTTGTAGTCATTCAGAGTGATGTAAAATGCTCCATTCTAGAGAAACTAGAACCAATCTAGAATTGTCCATAGTGGTGATGGGAACAGAGTTTAATGCCTCTAAAAGCCCCCTCACAGAACGTTATTACATGAAATGATTATGAATACATTGCATGATGCCTGAGACACTGTTTTTCTGGCCTAAAACATATTTTTTTAATTTAAAATCTCAAAGGTGGAGAGATGCAAAATATTCCCAAAAGAAAGCTTATTTTTTTCATATTTACCACTATTTTACCATCATACCGACATATAAGAACTCAGAAGACAGATAGGTTCACTGGTGGTTTTGGATAGTAAATAAAATGGCTAGATTTGCTTTGTAGGCATCATGGCACCTGGTTCCTATCACCACCACTGTAAAGAGTCGTTAAGCTACTCTACAATCAAACCACATCAAACCACTCTGAACGACTTTGCTTAAGTCTCAATGCAGAAATGTAGAAAATTTGGTGGAATTCCACTTAGGAGTCGACGAGGCTGCTTCAATAAAACACAAACAAAGAGACCTCACAGCTAAAACTCGGTGAAAACAAAGAGGAAAAGTCCCAAACAATTAAGTAAATCTTTGTAATTACATGGAAACAAAGCATTGCGCAATCTATTGTGATAGATCTGTTCTGGAAAAAGTCTCTTAATGTGGACGAGCCACATCTGTGAAGACTATGAAGATGGTCTCGGGCCTTTCCAGACAGAAAAACAGACAGACAGACAGACAGATGAAGTCTGTGGAAGTAATTAGGAAAACGAGGCTGCCGTACTGCGGCCAGCGTTTGGCCGTGAGCGGATGTGGCACACGGTTCACAGCATGCGAGAGCATTTACGATGGTTTTCAGAGACAGGCACCTTATTAAAGCCAGGGGCAGATCAAGCAGGAGTTTATTCATGACTCTATCAGACACCTCAACTTTAGACTGCTAACACAGTTCAGTTCACTGCAGTGGAAGGTCAGGGCTTTCTCAGGCCCACAGCTCAACGCAGCTTATCAGGGTGAAGTCAAGGCCGATGGTCTTATCAAAGCAATGACGTAGAGCAGAACGTGAGCCAAAGTTGTGTTGGTGATTAGATATTTGTTTCCTTCCTCCTAACGTGGATCCTCATGATACTTTAGCTTAGAGAAGATTCTGTAAGCAGTTGAAATGTATTCAGGAAAAAATGTGTTTGATTTGTTTAAAGGGCCGATATAATTCTGATCACAGTCAGATTTCTGCAGTCATCTGGTTATTCAAATGGTCGTGTAAACAGCATACTCCGATTTCTTAGATCAGAGAAATCCAATTAAGAAATCCGATAAAGAGGCTGGATTTTAGCTCGGTAATCAGACTTCTCAGTGCATGTAAACTCTTACTCTGATTTCTTTCGTTTCTCTGAGACTGCGTATGTTCGAAAACAGACGGCAGTACCGGAAATAATTGAGCAGAGTTGCCACGAGATGCAGCAAAACACTTTTGAAGTGATGCTGAAACCAAATACATTCTTGAGGAAATGAAGGATTTAAATATTCTTCATCTTCTGGATGATGTATGTTCATATTTTCAGATAAAGTGGTGCGATGTTTTAGAAAAAAGCCACGGCATGAAGTTTACGTTTTACATTACGTTTACGTCGCGTCTCCTTCTGTGAGTTTATTGGCTGGTTGTATAGCAGAAATCTGATTACTGTCTGACTCATGTAAACCTGGAGTTTTCCCATTATCTGATTACTCAAGAGCATGTAAACGTGTTGATCAGATTACTGACAAAATCTGATTTTCTGCAGTTATCGGATTATTAAGTGCATGTAAACACACTCATTGAAAACTGCATACTTTTATGAAATAAGAGTCTGATGCAGTGTGTAAACATTGTTAAAATTTTCAAAAAATATCCCCAGTTGATACAGTTCATGGAAGCTAATCTTCAAAAACAGCTCATTTTGAGTAAATTGTTTTTGTGATGTCACAAAAAATCACCACATTTACATAGTAATTTGCAAAGTTTAAAAGCATGGTTCTTCAAGGGTTCTTTAGTGAAGAAAATGGTTCTATATAGAAATATCAAGCTTTTAGCAACAGGAGAACCCTTTTGGTTTGGTTTATATTTTCAAAAAGGTTCTATATAGAGTCATCTACAGCACATTCTCCACTCATCTGAAGAAAGGGTTTTTTATGAAGTGTTCATGGTTCTATATAGAACCATATAGAACCATTTTCCTTAGTTAAGAACCCTTGAAGAACCACCTTTTTTTTTAGGAGTGTAGATTTAAGTTAGGGATTTTTGGCAACTCATTTTTTCAAAAAATGAAAATAAAAATTAATAAAAAGTGCAATTTGACCGGGGGCCCCGGCCACTGTTGAAGTTTTAAGGGGTGTTTCAGCCTGGACTGCTTTTTGAATGCGGGAAACCAATCAAAGCACAGCTCATTTCCTTACATTTGTCTTAAATGCATAGCCTGTGTAATTTTAAGAGATATACAGGTTGGAAAACCGTCTTGTAAAAATTGGTACATAAACACTCAAAAATGAAACTCAGGGAAAAAATCAGGCACAAGAAATATGGAGGGGATGACCTCTTTAATATGTTGGGCTGCCAGTCGACTTCAGATGAAGGCTGTCAAAACTGGGCTCTGGACGGGAGCAGCACGGTGGAGTTTCGTGTTCTTGTTCTGCTCTAATATATATTGAATTGACGTGATTCAACTCTGTTCATCAGCCCCACATGAGTAAAATACAGTCCATCAATGCAAGTTTGCTTTGCACTTTTGCCAATAACTGTGATGATGTACTGTATGTTATTGATGTGAAATGATAAACACATTTCAATTACGTATATTTAATGCAATCATTTTTTTTCCGCGGATGTCTGGACAGACCATTCTACTGCATTAGTTTAAACTTTCGTCCCACAGTAAAAAACACTATATAAAAAACAATGAAGTAGTCAGACCTTAGATATTTACAGTGATTGTTGTGATTTATTTAAACCCAACTTGTTTTTTTCTCATTTAAAGTTATTTTATTTCTTTCAAAGTGAAGCTGAAAGATTTAGATTTATTGAGTTTAATTTTTCAAATAAAAAAATGCTGTCCCACGTTTTCATGTCACTACTGAAACACAGAGTTTTAGTCTGCAGGCGGAGTCTTATTTTAGCCATGCCCCTGCATTTTAGAGCAGGAAGTGAGGCTGCATCCCTGTCCCTCATGACCACATGGTTACATCCCATTGTTTTGAAGTAAATATGTCCCAAAGTTGGAAAATCAGTGCAGGACATTAAGAATTGTCACTACCGAAACACATTTTCTGAAGTTAAGTGAACTGGTTTGTATTTTAATCTGAAATATGATGATTTTATGTGTGTACAGTTGTTCAAAGCTGTGTTTTCTGGTCATTCATGCTGCATTGAGTTCTGCTCAAAATGAGCTGAAATTGTCACTCCCGAAACATTTGGTAAAGTTTTCATAGTGATATGATTTTTTTGGGAGTAATAATATGGAATGATCATTTATTTGAATAAAATAAACATTATCAAGGTACACAGTCACTCAAAGCTAAAGGGTTTTAGTCTAAAGTCTAAGTCAGTTAAAAGTCTGAAATGTGTTTTGAACTCTGACTTTGAACCAGTTCAGTAGAATCATTCATTTTAGATTATTAGGCTGTGTTCAGATGGTGGAGTACATTCTCTTCTTGTCAAAAAGACAAAAGAAACCAGCACTTTTTGCACTTACATCAGGTTTAATTCATCCTAATCAGCCCATGTAAACATTAACAAACCTTACCGAGTGCCTTGATCACCACAACCAATAAATATACTGCAAACAATGGTATCTTGTCAAGTGAAATGATCTTAAATCTAGTCAATATATCTAATATTTCCCATTTTGAGATGGTTGTGCACTTTTTATAAGATTATCTATCTCATTTCTAGACATAATTTGCTTGTTTTAGGTAATTTTATCAAGTAAATTATTTTCGCTATACTGCCAGATAATTTGGCTGGTTTCAAGCAAATTTCTTAAAATGAGCAAAATTATCTGCCAATATAGTGAGATAATTTTACTTAATAAAACTTGAGTTTAGTAAAAAACTAAGTACTTAAGTAAAAAATATCTAGCATTAAGATTAATAACGTTAAATTAAGCTTACAATAATCATAACAGGAGAAATATTAGATTTATTGATGATATTTACAATAATTTTACTTGCCATAATACTATTTTTTGCAGAGCATTTTTCTACATAAAAGTAAACTTCTTGCCAAGCTACAGTGGTAATCGGGACTCATCATCTGTTTCTCAAGGTTTTTTAGCAAACCTCAATGATGACAATGTACAGGATGGTACATACAACAGTGAATAAATATTCATGCTTGAGCTGAGTATTTTGTAAGTTATATATGTGAAAAAAACACACTCTGGTTTAGTTTTTCCCTCGTTTTTGATTGGTTACCTCATGAAAAGTGACACATGACGAGTGAAGCTTTTCCACTGAAGTTGAGCATTTTTCAACTTGATCCATGTTGGAAAAACCTGTTCCATGGTGGGAAGGGCACAGAATTCACATCGTACCATAGAATATAATGGCATTTTTGGCGAAATCCATTCCACCATCTGAACGTAGCCTTAGTCATGTCACATTCAGTTGTGTACATAATGTGAATCATATATGGTGATACTGAAGGAGCTTACCTAGATCAGAACACTGTACCACCCTTAGATGGCACTGGCACCTGAAGGGGCAAACTGGCCCAAGGGGAATATCAGGGATTTCAGGAATTACAGGGGCTTCAGGGACTTTAGGGATTTTAGGGGGTCGCCGGCTTGTAGGGGGAGTATGGTCCAGACCAGACCCAGGCTCATCCTCAATCATGAAATCCAGGAAGCCAGACTGGCGGAAGGGCAGAGCCCAGCAGACAGACACCAGGAGCAGGGTGAGACAGGCCAACCTCATATTGTCAGTGACCTGGAGGGCAGAGAAGATAGAGCAATGGTCAGGAGGTCAGGATCAGTCAGTAGGCTGAGGCGAATGTGAGGAATGTAGGAGCAGATGAACAGTTCACGACTTTTCCCAAGGATTTAATAGCATTTGGCCACTATGCATCAACATGAACACCGCATGCTCTACACAAGGGCCTGACCGATATGAAATGTTTGCGGCTGACACCGATACTGACCTTAAGAGGCAAAAAATATCAGATAACTATTTTTCCTTGTTGTTTTTCTACAGTATTTGAGCACAAAGCTGTCTTTCATATTGTGTGAAAAATTTCAAAATGAAAAAAACAACAGAACTAGAATAAAATGTCTTTACATTAAAGCTGCACTGCATAAGTTTTTTGTGAAAAACTGAAAGTAGTGTCATTACTGAGTGAGGAGAACAAAACAGGCTAAAATATGTTGAGTGTGCACTGCTGTGAGTCACCCTGTAAAGCCTGAAATAATCATTTAAAAGTCAAGTTTTTATACGTCTTTACATATCAACGTCACATGCACAGGCTTAAACAGAAGCACCAGCTCGATGTTTCGATCTCAAATGACCTCAAAATCAACATCTCTATCAATAATGAGATTCATCCCCTTGGGGAAGGGGGCCAAAGCACAACCCATGTTACAAAATGTTCTTCCGCACATTGTGTGCATTTACACGTTTCCACCAGAGAGGGGTGTCACTTGATACATTACATTTACAATGAATTCACATTCTGTGAATATAATTTTGAGTCTACACCAACATTTTTCTACTTATTTTGAAGTCAAATAATGATTACAAACACAGAAAAAATGTAACGAACGTTTTATCTTTCAGCAAAGCAAGACTGTGCACACAACAATGACTTTTCAAGCTGAAATCATTTCAAAAAGTCTCCTCTTCTACTTCCAAATGAAGAGTTTTATTCCAGCATACTGTATTGAGGATATTAAAAGTTCTGAAAAGGTTAAAAGCTCAGGGGTAGTGCATTTCATCAAAGGACCCTTTTTTTTTTAATTTTTCTAATAAAGGTGGCAAAGTTGATTCTAAACAATGTAAGAAAGTTTATGAAAGTGGCATTTTAATGCATTTGAATTACTAATGTGGTACAGATAATACAATATAGAAATAATTCATATAATTTGCAAGATGCTTTTGTCATCACCAGCAATAACCATGACTTCTAAGGGTTAAAAAGATCTCTAAGATGCTGAATGAACAATGCAATGTTAGCTTAACGCCATTAATACTCAAAATACTGTCAGTCTGTCAAAATTGATAAGTAACCGATCGGTTTTAATTATCATGAAAGAATGTAAGAAGGTGTTAAAACTTGCCCCGGGAACACAGATGTCCTGCAGAGTTGAGCTCCAGTGCTAATCAAACACAGCAGTCAGAGAACCTGAAGAAGTTCATTAGTTGTGTCAGGTGTATTCGATTAGAGCTGGAAGTGAACTCTGCAGGAGGGGGCTCTCCTGGAGTTGGAATACCTGGTCTATAATGAAGACCCTTTAATAGACACCCTGTAGGGTGGTCAGGATTATAGCGCTTGACCTCATTAAAGACTCTCTCTTGCCTAGGTTTATTTCACCTTTGGTCAAGGAGAATAAAACTGTCCTCACCATGCAGAGGCATGTCAGTCATCTAGAGCCCCTCCTTTTTTTACTTGGGCAGGGCTGGAGCCTTTTGAATGAAAGGGAAATTGCTGGGTAAGTAAAATTCAGGGTCATGTCAGGTCTAAACAATTTTGCGTCCCTCTCTCTCTCTCTCTCTCTCTCTCTCTCTCTCTCTCTCTCTCTCTGTCTCCCTCTCTCTCTCGCTTGGTATACAGTATAATTACAGTACAGCAACCAAAACTCTCAGATGGTGACCTCTGAGAAGCTATGCAGTTTAAACCTGACAACCTCTTCTGCAAGCAAGAGCCATGATGCAATGCCCTGCAGACACAGTGAAATGTATTAGTTTTAACATGAAATCTGTGGCTGGATTTACATGATGAAACTAGTTGCAGCTCAGAAGTTGCATGAAACATAATTTCCATGCAACTTTATAAAAGTTGCGTGCAACCCATTCGTTCACTGACAAGATTAGCTGATATGTTTCATATTATATAACGAATTGTTCTAGGTAACATTTTAATTATAATATACAAATGGGCCCAACTACATAGATACTTCAAACTAGCAAATCAGAATAAACAACTGTTCAAACAGCTGTCATGCTATCTATGTTGGTAGCTGCTAAACCAACTGCTTGTCAGCAAATATGTAAAATCATTCCAGGACAGCATCCCTTGTTTATTTATTTATTTATTTGCCCATGATGTGGTGATGAAAATCAATCAGTCAGTACAATCAAATAATAGCATTTGATGTGATCACAAAGTATGTGGTATGTTGCGTGACGGCAGCAGTGACGAACTGTTAGACTTTTAGAGCTAGGCCTTCTGTCAAGGCCATAGATGTCCAAATTTGGTCAAAAAACAATGAAAAGCACCTCTACAATCATGCTAATTTCTGCTATCACCCCTATTGGATTTCTAATAGCTACAGTTTCATATATCATGTTGCTCCAGCTACATCAAATCAGCCAACATTTGTTTCTTTATATCATTAATATATCAAGAGATGGGAAAATGAACCTGGCTATGTATTTCATGATATTGCTATCAAAGCAGAGCTGTCATGTCAACTGTAGCTGGCTGGCTAACTGGCTGATTAAACTAACTGGTTACCAGTAAATAAGTGAAATTATTCCAAGAGACCATCCTCTGTTTCACTTTCTTGTCCATGATGAAAACCAGTTGAAATGATGTTGTTTGTTGTCGTAACATAGCATGTTGTATGTTATGTGTGACTAATAGAGCTAGTGCTTCAGTCCTGGACATAAATGTCAAAATTTGAACAAACATGGAAAAAACACCTCTACAATAATGTTGATTTCTGCTAATGCACCTTTGGGATCCAAGACTCTGAGTATGTTACGTTGTGTGAAGATTCACATTAACCTTTTTTAGCCATTCAAGATTAAACATGGTGTTTCAGCTCTGTAAGTGTTGCAGTAATGCACTTATTTCATTGTTCAAGTTTGATTTAAACAGAAGGGTTAAATTCTTGAAACACTCTCTCACTGGTTAGGACTTCAGGAGCTAGACTAGAGGATTAACATTTCAGATTAACCACCAACACAATTAGGAACTGACAGTAGAATCAACCAATTAACATTTTGATTTTGTGAGAGGAAAAATATCGTTCTAGGCTATCTGGAAGTTCTAGATGTGTCACCGAGTACAAGAAGTAGCCTGACCAATGTGTTTCAGTCAGCTGTACAGCTAACTAAAGCTCATCAAAGACATTCCATATGTTGCATTTGGAGCTTGTAACAGACATTAAGATGTATTTGACCTTGTATCAGTTTTATAGAGACTCTTTCAGCATTAGCTTCTTCCATTGGAAATCAAGATGTGATAGATTCCATTATCAGTTTCTTATTATTAATTGGACATGTAAGGCCTTCAGTTCAGCTCATGAAGTCCTAACCAATAGGAGAGCTTGCTTGGGTGTATCTACTTAGAAACCACAGAGGAAAAAGTCCTGATTGGATAGTTTTCCAGTGAGCTTTTCAAGAATTGAACCCATTTGTTTCCAACCAAGACTTAACACGAGACCATTACTACATTTAATACAACAGCGTAAACATTACAAGCACAATGATTACACTGAATAAAAATGAAATCAATAGGTCTACCACGAAGACCTAGAAGGCCAAAGAAGGAGATTTCCTCACTGGATGGCATCAAGTATTGCGGCTGAGTCCCAAGCGAGTTTAATTTAAGTTTCAAAGTTGTCTGAAAGTTTCGTCATATACAGAAAGCCTAAAATGTATTAAAGAAATCAGACAGTCACAACACAGGGACATCTCCGCCAGGATCTCAGGCCATAAACCCAAATAATATATGTTCTTCTTCTTGGAAAGGTCCACCATGTATCCAAAGCACTAACTCAATCAATTAGATGAAACCGAGAACCTCTGTTTCCCATCCAAGAGAACGAGGTTAATCAGAGTCCCACACATATCAGGTTCCAAACTCCTGCTGGCTGAAACACGAACAAAATGACAAATGGAAACAGCAGGAAAAGTCTCCCACAATGTGACCTTTGACCACTGGTTTCTGCAACTCATCACTGGAGATTTATCCTACAGGGACGCATGGAAGCATGGACCTCATTCATCAACAGTGCCAGAAAGTCATCCAGATGACCAACCAATGTGTTGATTGTTTAAAAAGTGTGATGGATACATACAAACCACTGCTTTCAAACTACTACTTAATGCCTCCAGCCACTATGAGAGTCATATGACATTGACGTGTCCAGTTTGGAATGAAGATTCTTGGCCTCTGGTGCTCTGCAAAGTGAAGGAACTCCACTCAACCTGTGCACCTGGAGGGTCTCCCCATTAACAAACAAGTTGAGACAAGAGTGATCAGCCTCCAGTGCTGCTTTACTTTGCACCTCTCACATGTTAATGGATTCCTGCCATGGCTTTCTGACCACCACCCATGATTCTCTGGGAATGACTCTGCTCGGAGGGGTTCAGCAGGGTGTTCTGCCTCTTGTGGCTGCTGACTTCAGCCACATTCTGTCAGCACAATGAGGTGGAGATCCTGCTGAAAGCTAAATAGCTGGAGGACTTGGGGTTGCCTTGTCATTGCTGACACAAAAATAAGTTTGGCATGTTGTGACAGGGTTGGTCTGAGAACATGTTCAATCAGTATAGCCTGGAGAAAGAAGATCCAGGTGAGTGCTGAGGGTAATGATTGAATACTGGACACTCCGTGTGTGGCTAAAAGCTTAAGTTTCGTTGGTTCCGATGTGAATTTCCTCCAAACTTCAAAGCCCAAACACCTGTTGTGGATATCGGTTTCTTAACACTGAACTGTCTAAAGTTTAGGCTTCTATAGTTTGAAGCTTCTTTGGCTTTTACAGGAGACA